TACCTAGATGTCATTCTTGCGATCTTGTGAATTGTAATTATACAAAATAACACGCGATTAGTAGAAAAATAGTATATGGTAATTATATATATATATATATATATATATATTAAAAAATATTTTTATGATAAATATCTTATTGAATTATATTATGACTATTTTGGTCAAATACATGTTGCCTTCATTCTGGTAGTAGAATAATTCCACGTTTATAAAAGTTTTGATGTTTGCTTACAAAAAACGGATCCAAGTAATTTGTGACATTTTCATTTCAAGTAAACGTCTTACAGTTTAAAAAATTTTATAAAGACTGGAACAAGTAATAATCTGAGGTGCCTGATCTGGCAAATATGGTTGGTGTGATAGCACATCCCATCTGAGCTGTAACAGATATTTTACAGACAGATACAGATATTTTTTATTGATAATATACCAAAGGTACATTCCCGGTACCATTTACATACAACTGGGTGAGTCGCGACAATGAATACAGTTTACAAAGAAAATTGGTGAGAGGACAAATACCGTAAAAACAAGCTGTTGGAGATAAGTGACTAAGACAAACTAATAGATGCCAAAAGTACAAGTTTCAGAATTGAGATAAATAAAATGCATACAAAATAATTGAATGCAAAATACATAATGTAGAGTAAATAACAATAGTGAATATGATGCTTGTCATGTACAGTACCAAAAATAAAGCAAATGCGTTTACACAATCAGAAAGGGTATATGTACAGTAGAACTAAACGTGGGCACGCAGGCCCTTGTACAAACATCAAAACAACGTGGACATGCTGGTAGAAATGGCAAGTCCAATACATACAAACGCATATAAATAGAGGAGGTTAGGCTCAGAAGAGCACTAGATTTAGGTAGGCACGGTAGTTCATTTAAAGTACATGTTTACAAGGTTACAGAAGGCACTGTAGGTGTCCTTGTGCCTGAACAGACAAATGAAGTTAGAGGGAGGCCAGTTGTTGTAATTATGCTATAACAGTTTCTGACATGTTACCAAACTTGTGTGAAATTTGACATTATCATGGTAAAATACTACTACTGTTTTGTTGATCAATTCAGGCTGCCTTTTCTGTTTGATGATATTACTCAATTTGTTTACTTGATGGCAGTACACTTTCGAATCAATTGTTAAATTGTCTGGTAAAAGCTCAAAAAAAATTTTTCTTAAAATCCCACCAAAGAGAGTATCTCTCTTTAAGAGCATGTGGAACCCATATATTGAGCTTTGAAACAAAACCAATTCGTTTCAAGTAATCATAAACAGTTCAATTCGACAAATTTAATCTTAGTGATTTCACATGCTGTTATTTGGCAGTTTGCTTCAATCAGTACCTTTATTTTGTTTTCACTGGCCATCCAGAACGTGGTGTATCTTCAATATTGAAATTGCCAGAACGAAATTTTGTAAACCAGTTTTGGCACTGTCTTTCTCTCAACACATCATCTCCATATATGTACCACAAGTTTTTTCTTGTTTGAACAGCATTTGATTTTTTGGTAATAATAAAGCAAAATATGCCAAAAATGATGCTTTTGATTTTCCATATTTGATGGGACACCAGAAAAAAAATATTGTACAGAATCAAACAAGTTTTTACAAATAAGCCTTAAAATGTCAGCTGTCAAAATATATAATAAAAAATATGGTTTAAAATGAAATTGGCTGGTAAAATACATCTAATTCCTCTATTAATAAAAAAAAACGAAATTACTTTCCGAATAACCCACCAGGAACCTTATTATTACGATCATGACCTGACTGTGAGAGAGAGAGAGCTTACAATCATTTACATGTTGATAAATACCTTAAGAGTTCATAGAAATTGAAGATCCGTTCGAAACTTTCAGGGCGTAGGGAGTCACTTTTTTCTGAAGCAGCAACGATTTCTCTTGAGCGATGACAGATTCTCGAGTGCAATGGCAGCGGTGATGACAAGTGGCTGGACACACACAGTTCAAGAAAAAACTGGATGATGGCTGCTGCTGATTGTCATCACCCCTCCTTTTTATTAGGGAGCCCCTCCTGGGTTTTTCCCATGACTTGGTTAGGAATTTTAGTATATTGGGACCAATAGTCAATTTTTAACTTGTTGGTTCCGGATGAGATATCCAATGTGTCACCTTCAACAAGGAAGTAAGTTTGTGGGAACCAGTTTTAATTGACTTTAACATTTTCGTTTTTTGTTTTGTCTCTCTAACTTTTTCTCTTGACAAACAATATTTAAACAAAATATCTCACCAATTTCGGCTCTCACAAAACTTATTACCAATGTTTTTCTGTAATATTTCAGTAATGAACTTTGTCATTAATACTTTATGTAGAGTACATATTAGGACTCACCAATGGCCAAGCAGTTCCATTTTCTGAACATCAGAAGTTCGGTTGTGGGTTCATGCCTCACCTGGACAGGTTGGTCACATGGAGTTTACTGGGTTTTCTCCACACCCTTGAATAGGGGCCAGTTACCCATAACAAGACTTCTCAGAAGGTATTTTCCCTAGGCAGATTGCCCAAGTGTTGTGTTGTTGTAACTTAACAAACAACCAGTACATATGAACATGAGAAACTAATATTCTAAATCTGTGGCTCTCAAAGTGATGTTACCAGTCTTGGGGTGGTGAGTAAATCTAGGGGGTAAAAAAAGGCAAGGGGTCACTGAAGGTTGGGTCCTGACTGATTGATGACCATATGCAATGCTTTAGGTCATTGGCAGCCTTTCCCTTTCCTTCATTAAAACAGGTAAGAAGAAACATTTTAATGGTTTCAGGTAAGGAGAACAATGTACTGTACGGTAAGGACATAAAGTGTGAGGTTTGTAGCAAAGTTTTTTTAAGAATATTCCCAAGTCTTTCTCGTGCAAGGGAAAATGGTTGGGGTGTTGGGTATAACTTTATGGAACCAGGGGAGTGGTGGCACAAAAAAGTTTCAGAATCACTGTTCTAAATTATTATTTTTAAATATGAAATAGCTATTAAAAACATACATAAAGCTTTTTAATTGAATATAATTATTTTATATATATTATAGAATTTCCAGCCGTCACTACAAGACAGTGCAATACATGCCTACCAGTGCTCTTCTTTTAGTCAAACATCAAATAATGGAAACAACAACATCAATAAGAACTCATCGCCTCCATCAGGAACATCAAGTGGATTACGTGAAGCGGGAATTGTTGAAAAACTTTTGGTAAAGCATTAAATTAATTTTCTTTATTGGAATAATAATTTCAGTAAAGAAAAGTAAATTAAGCTCACTTAAATTGAATTTTTAGTGCTTAATTGTTTATTTAATATTTTTATTACAGCATTCATATGGCTTTATTCAATGTTGTGAACGACAAGCTAGATTATTCTTCCATTATAGCCAGTTTTCTGGAAATATTGAACATTTGAAGCTGGGAGGTGAGTAAACACTTTTCATTGTTTACTTGAACATTGTAGTTTGTTGTTAATTATAATCAGTTTATATATAAAAAAGTTACATAAATTCTAAAAAATCTATTTATTTTATTTTTATGTTATTGATAAATCATGTTTTTCAGTTGATAGTTTAACCAATAGTTTTCAAATAAAATTATACATAATTATAAAGTAAAAGTCTCTCTATATGGAGTATTTGTTTGAAAGCATTAAACTAAAAACAAGAATTGCAGCTTAATTATCACAATAAAGTCAATTGAATTTTTGCCTATTATGCCTTTATTTTTATTTTTTGTTAATAGTTCATATTCTGAATCTCTGGTTTACTTGAAATACATTTTGAATGTCAGATTCTTTTGACATTCCTCCTTGGTCCTACCAGTGTTCCTATTAGTCTTACTGTTCTCCTGTCACTTCTCACTCAGCAACTTAACTATCATCTGTGATAGTGAAATTGTCCAGCATGAGAATTAAGTTTCAGCTTAACTCATTTTTGCCAAACTTAACTCAGCTTTGCCAAACAGCTCTTGAAACTTTGCTATTGCAAAGTTTCAAGATCTGTCTACAGGAGCCCTTGAAAAGACACTGTTCTGTAAACAAAACACTATTTCAAACTAAATAACATATGACATTGAAATTTGGCATGTGCAGTGCAGAGAGAGGACATTACAGGATTTTCAAAATCATCAAATTTGAGGAACAGCAGTTACATGCATCATAATTACAGGTGAAAAATCAGTGGAAAATTGACACCCTAGGCAGGCAATTCTGTAAAAATAAATAAATAAAACTGCATACAGTTGCAGGTTGAATATAAATTAGTTGCAAATTAATAAGTAAAAATGAATTAAGTTTTGGACTAATAACTGAAATTGTTTTGAACTTTACATTTTTTATGTATTTTGAATGTATTTCTCTATATACTTGTATTTTTATTATTATTATTTTTTTAATGTTTTTTATTTGGGTTAAATATCATTATTATTTTCATAAACTTATTAATAATAAATTTGTAATATAAACTTCATTTTTCTTTATAGACCCAGTTGAATTTGAGATGACTTATGATAGACGTACAGGAAAACCAATTGCTAGTGCTGTGGTTAAAATTTCAACAGAAGCTTTATCTGATGAAGTTCTTAGTTCAGAACGTGTATCTGGATTTGTTACGACTGAAGTTAAGGATGGTGCTGAGGTAAACATCATTTTTTTTTTAATTAGATGATATTTCATTTTTTCTAAATTTGACACAAATATAAAATGATATATGGAATGTTTCATAATATATTTACTAATTTTGAGGATAAAATATGAGTAAAGAGTAGACATTTACTAAATTTAATAATTTTTAATAAATTATTATTAATTTAACATATTAAGTGTCATGTGTTGCAAATATGCAACATCCATCAATTCATTCAGGCCAAAGAATAGCATGTGTTGCATTTCTGCAACACATGCTATTCATTGAAATCTGCATTGTATTACTTTGGAGCAACATTCTAGCCATATAAATATAATGTAAATAGAGCATGGCCTGTCAATGTGGAAATTTGCTCTTGGCCCAGTAAATTTTTTTATGATAGAATGCTAATACAAAACTTAATTTTTTTCTCCTCTAAAATATGAGAAATATGCAAAATTTAATTTTTCTATAATTTTTTTTTTGCACAATGATCATGAATAAGTACAAAATTATGAAATATAAAGCACAAAAGCAAATATTTGAGAGAGAATCTTTATTTCCTTGTAGTGAACAAAAACATTAATAATAATATTTTTAGTGATGATTCTACTTTTACTTAGATTTGTATCCATCAATTTATGCATTTATGTGGTAAACGTTCTGTTGAATTTAGAACCTGATGAGCATAAAAGATGGCGTAGCATGATCAGAGAAAAATCATTTAGGCCACCTGTTGTGATTCTGCAACATGCCTAAAATTGAGAAAAAAAATATTTTTAACAATGAAGACTTAAGAGGTCATAATTTTTGTGTGATTTTGTCCATAAAAAAAGAGCATGGCCCGTTGTGATATTTTGACTCTCTCTCTTGTGGTGTTTAATGTGCAAATTTCAAATGAATTCAAAAAAAGAAAAGAATTCAAATGAGGATTCAATTTTAAAATCTAAAAAATTATTTAATAAATTTATTTTCATCTNGTAATTTAATAAAATTTATTAATCAGTTGCTATCAGAAAAATTATAGGAGGAAAAGAAACTGATGCAGATTATCTGCATTGATTAATTGCATTGTTTACTAAAAAATCTGTTCATATTTTTCATTCATTAAATCTAATGCTGTTTTTTGATATCTTAATTTCTTACCAGTTATGTGAAAATTCATTAAAATTCCTATCCCATTTTAACAAATTTATCAAATCCCATAATCCCATAATTTATCAAAAGTGCTAGATAGTCTGATGCATTTAGATCAAAATACAAAATAATAATTATTCTGTCATCAATAAAAAGCAAAAACAAGAATTCTAAAAAGTATTTTATTCATCATTTAACTAAAATTTTCTGCACAATAACTCACAGCTTAGAAAGGAAGATGATATAGAAAAAAGTAATTTTCATTTAATAATCAAACTATAAATGTGATTATTATTATTTTCTGTGGGATTGTTATATTTGGATTGAAAATATTGTTTTTGGAAAAAAAAACTAATGGCTACAAATTAATGAAAATTGGAAGCAGAAGAATAAATAGAAAAATATTTAAAAAGAGAATAATTAGTTGTTATAGCTGTTATATACAGTACATTTTTGTTGGCAAATGTGATAAACTGTTTGTTACCTAAACATGTTTATAGTAGAATGTTGTATGTTTTATATAAACATCAATAGATGAAAGATGTAATTACAGATTATTTCTCTGAATTCTGGAAAATAATTGGGAACAAGTATTTGCTATTCTTTGAATCAATTTTTAAATTTGAAATAAAAATTAGTTTATTTTGAAGCAATATCTATACTTTTTCTAGACTCAACTATTTTGTACCAGCACTATATATTAAATACAGTATCATTCAATTTTATGGATTGTCTCTCTTAAAAATAATCATAAGAAATAAATGATCATTTATCATTTCTTAAAACCATTTTACTTTTATTATACATATTTCATACTTAATATGTATGTTTTTGGCAGTGACTTGGCATTACAGTATTGTGTGTCAAAGAATAATAATAAAATATTACATTTAGTGGATCATAGATTTTAAGAAAAAGTTGTAGGTAAACTTATTTTATTATTAACTACCAGATCCACGACATGTGTACTACTTTCATGCTTTGCAATAAGTTCCTTTTTCATTTTAGCCTTTTTTGTGCCTTCCTTATACTAGTTAGACTTTGTTGTTTCCACATATTTCTTGGATGCCTTGATTAATAAATAAAGGTTATATTGGGTTGAACAGAAAGTTTTTGCATATTTTTAACAGTTGTCATTACTTAACATAAGTGTGTTATTTAATTGTAATAGTTGCAAATTTTAACACATTATTATTAATTTGAGATTATATTTTTTTGTTCACATGCTTATTTTATGCTTTGAATGCATTTTTCATTCTGCACATGCTTTGAACTCTGAAAAATTTGAAGTTAGCATTACTTAAATTATGAGATAACATTGTACAGAGGAACAAGACAGAATACAAGAGAAGCAGCTCAGATTTCACGACTGTTTTCCAGTTGCATCAAGACCAACATATATACAATGATTTTGAGTGTTATTTGTTGCTTTACACCAGGGGTCGCCAAAGTGGCCAATATAACATTATTTGGGGTCGATTATCAAGCTTGAGCTAAGGATCAAGCTTATCCGTCTCACTGATTGTCAGTTTAAAAATTATTATTAACAAATATATAATAAATGAAAAAATGCAAAATTAAAAGAAATGTATTAAAATAGTAAGTATTTTGTTTTGCTTGTAACATAAACTTTTTGGTGGAGGTCGATGTGAGGTTTCGAAAACTTGTAGGGGGTCGACGATCAAAAAAGTTTGGCGACCCTTGCTTTACACAGACACTAGTACAGTTGGATATCAAAGACCAGGTTTTGCTCATCTAATAGCATGAACATGTTTGTGTACTTCCATGCATGAGGACTGCATTAGACCCAAATATACAAATATTATATTGCCATGACTTGCATCTAATCTGCAACTTGCACAATGTGCACAAGATGTCACACAGGGATTTCAGTGATGCCACACAGGGATTTCAGTGATGCCACATGATAAATTTACAGTGTACTGAACCACAGCTCCTTCAGCATATTTTATGGACTAATCGGGCATTGTTTTTCCAGAATGGAGTGTATAAACATCACAGCTCGAACCATTGGGCAGAGCGTGCTCCACAATGTGCACAACATATGCGATACCCAGTGTGTTTTATCTAAATGTTTGCTGTGGAATTTGGAGTGAGCAGCTTCTTGGTCCCATATTCATTGACAGCATTCATGACTGATATCTGAACATCCTAAACATGATGAATAAATGGCTTGATGACTTACCTTTAGCACAACTATACAGCAGGTTTGGAAGCAGCACAATGGTGTAACAGCTCATTTCCAGAAAGACATGCATCAGTGCAGTTTGCACAGCAGTTTGGCAACTGTTGGATAGGACAACATAGTTCTCTTCCATGGTCACTTGTTCCCAGACTTCTCTTCTCTGGATTTTGGGATTTTTCTTGTAGGGTCCTCTAAAAGAATTGCTGTATGATGCATACCCATCAGCACTAAACAATGATAGTGAACTGGAGAAAGACATACGGGAGACCTGTGAAACTGTGATACCAGGAATGGTGTATGCCATCTTATAATGCCATACTCAACTGTCTGCCTTCAGTGACAATGTAAAGATATAGTCATTTTGAACGTTAAGCTTTACTTTGTTCTCTAACAAAGTAAAGCTTAATTTTTTGTATCAATTTGCAGTTTGCAATGTTGTCTTTATTCTTTACAGTCAGAGATTATTTGTGTTATGCTAGATTGTCTTAAATTGATTTCCTGTGGTTATTTTAGTGTTGGAACAGGCATTCACCACATTCATACACTTGTGCAGTACTGGAAAGATTTCTTTTGCTCTTGGACAGATATTTAAATGGCCACATTGTATAGCTAAAGTAGTAAAAAACAGGATACCCAATAGTGTAGAAACATAAATGAATATTTACAAATTGAAGATGTGCCTTGTTAGTAATGATTATGTATTGATAATGAGGAACAATACAATGAACATATCATATATTGTAATATAATACTAGTAAATCATTTATTATGTATATCTGATTATGTTTTCAGACCTTACGATCACTTTGTAGATAATTAGAATTTATAATTAGTAATTTAATAAAATTTATTAATCAGTTGCTATCAGAAAAATTATAGGAGGAAAAGAAACTGATGCAGATTATCTGCATTGATTAATTGCATTGTTTACTAAAAAATCTGTTCATATTTTTCATTCATTAAATCTAATGCTGTTTTTTGATATCTTAATTTCTTACCAGTTATGTGAAAATTCATTAAAATTCCTATCCCATTTTAACAAATTTATCAAATCCCATAATTTATCAAAAGTGCTAGATAGTCTGATGCATTTAGATCAAAATACAAAATAATAATTATTCTGTCATCAATAAAAAGCAAAAACAAGAATTCTAAAAAGTATTTTATTCATCATTTAACTAAAATTTTCTGCACAATAACTCACAGCTTAGAAAGGAAGATGATATAGAAAAAAGTAATTTTCATTTAATAATCAAACTATAAATGTGATTATTATTATTTTCTGTGGGATTGTTATATTTGGATTGAAAATATTGTTTTTGGAAAAAAAAACTAATGGCTACAAATTAATGAAAATTGGAAGCAGAAGAATAAATAGAAAAATATTTAAAAAGAGAATAATTAGTTGTTATAGCTGTTATATACAGTACATTTTTGTTGGCAAATGTGATAAACTGTTTGTTACCTAAACATGTTTATAGTAGAATGTTGTATGTTTTATATAAACATCAATAGATGAAAGATGTAATTACAGATTATTTCTCTGAATTCTGGAAAATAATTGGGAACAAGTATTTGCTATTCTTTGAATCAATTTTTAAATTTGAAATAAAAATTAGTTTATTTTGAAGCAATATCTATACTTTTTCTAGACTCAACTATTTTGTAC